AAATATAGTTACGCTTATATTAATTTTATGTTAATTTCATGTTATTTGTGGAGATTTACATTATTGGAATAAAGATATTATTCCCAAATAATGCCCGTTGCGTGAGTGTGTTTACATAATTTGTATTGATGCAAAGTGCTGGAAATGCTTATATTTGAGGCTGTATCTTTCAATATTCTGGTCTGTGTCTTTAAAGTTTATCACAAATTAGGTGAATTGTATACCAAGACTTATTTGTGTTGTTTATACTGTTTTGTATTCTTCAACATCCCCTCCCTCCCCAAATGTGGAATTTACAAACCCAATGTCTTTTATTTATCTTTGATCAATATATGATCCTGTAATAAAGCATCATCTGCTTTTGATTTTTTCACATTATCTCCATGTTGTCTTTCAATTGAAAAAGAATGAGCTGGCAACTATGCTGGATTTAATGACTGCAATTTTTTTATTTTTTCTTCTAATTATTCTGTAGTTAAATATTCATTATTTCAAACCTAAGTTCCTTATAAGTTAATTTACAGTAATCCTAATAATTTTTCAATATTGGCAGTGGGGTATATGTCAATTAATCCTATATTGCTGTCAAAAATCATAACTTTATACAAATTAAAAATATGTGTTAAAATATTCTTAGAATATTCTCCAATCAACAAAATGTAAATTTGCCCTATAGAATTGAAGCTTTTTAAAGATCTTGTCAGCAGATATATCCATGTGACATTTTAAAGGAAGACTTCATTTAGCACGTAGTGATTTAAACAGTTTTAAAAGATGGAAACTTTGTAAAACTTACAATAAAATGTTCTTTCAATAAACATTTGACAAAGGCTTCATCTGGATGTATTTAGCCAACAGATGCCTTGTTCAGTTTAAGGCTCATTATATTTTTATGCTATAAATACAATGTGAATATTCATTGTATATGCATTCCATATCTCTTTTTTGCCTTGACCATGAACTAACAAGAATTAGAACCAACACCAACATCCCAATTAAAGTTAAATATAGAACATGCTACTTAGTAAAGAAGAACAAGATAAACATTAGGTTGAACATTTTAGCATCATATTGAATCAACCTAGCCAATCAACAGCATATGATTTTGCAACATTGCACAGTTAGAGGAACTTGATGTCAATATGGAACTGATTACAATTACTGAAGTTCAGGACACAATGCAGTTGTTAAAAAATGATAAACCATCTCACTTAGACCAGATATCTGCAGAACTCTTAAAACATGGTAGAGATAGTTTGGTGGAAGATCTCACTATTTTATAAACAAAGTCAGGAAATAATCATTAAAGTACCAAAGAAACGGAACCTCAGTGATTGTAATAACTGGAGAGGCGTAATGTTGCTATCATCCCTGGAGATGTTCTATGCCTTGTGTTGCTCAGTAGATTGCAGTGTCAAGTAGATACACACCTGCGTGAAGAACAGGCAGGATTCAGGAAAGAATGCTCTTGTAACAACCAGATCCTGACCTTAAGAAATACCATCGAACAGAGTATTGAATTCCAGAAGCCAGTGGTAATCAATTTTATTGATTTCAAAAAGACATTTGACTCGATTTATTGAAAATCACTATGGAATGTTGTAAAGTCATATGGTATTCCTCAATGTTTTATCAACATCTTTAAGAGTCTGTGTTACATATAAACAGAATCTGGAAACACAACCTTCTTTAATGTCAATACAGGAGTAAGACAGAGATGTATACTATCACCATTCTTGTTTCTCCTCTCCATGGACTTTGTTATGCATAGAGCAATAGCAAAGCTTTGGCATCCCATGGATTTTGTGGATAACATTGCATTGCTTGGTGAAACAAAAAAGTGCTGGCAAAAAATGACCTCCAGTTTAGATAATGAGGCCAGCAAGATTGGCTTATACATAAATTTTGAGAAGACCAAATTTATGCAAGTTAGAAGTGTTCAGGGTAATATAACAGTCCTATAACAGTCTGTGGTCGGGCTATAGAACATTCCTGGGAACCTACAAAATATTTCAACATTCCTACTTTTCCGGATTGAGAAGAACATTTCAAGGATTAAACACAACATCCTTCAATTTCCTCTTTTGCAGGTAGTATCCTAATGTCCCAGTAGCGGAGCATATCTGTGAAGTCTGTGAGATAGAAATCTATTTGTGAAGAGATAGAAATAGTTCATCGCTTACATATTGTAACTCTGTAGGTATGTTCAGAATATGTATATTAATCCTTCAGTGTCAATACACAGGAAAAATATATACTTATATGTGAACCTTGTTCTCTAAAATGCAAATTTATTTATCACCTGTGAGTTCCAGTGGTGAAGAGGCAACAGCTAATAACTAAGGTGGTTCAGACAACTAATCCTATTATTTATGTTTTTATGTAATTTCCTGATTGTTGATTAAAATGAGATTGACTTATCAGATTTATGACTACTAAAGCTTTCTGTCTGAAAAACATTGTTATGAAAACATACACATAATTATTATGTAATTTGCAATTTCTCACTGTGTATCAGATTTTTTAAAGAAAGGGTTATTATGCTTATGCCCAGATATAATATTATAAAAACTATTTCAAAATGTTATTTTATGTTTTAAAATCTTATTAGAGCCTTTCATCTTTGTATGTAAAATAGCTCTATGTATTGTGAGGAGTGCTGTAGTTTACTTCCTTATTAATTATTTAGTCAGTGTAACTTTTAAGTTCTGGTATTATGGAAGAAGTAAATTTCTGTACTTTCTTATTATACCCATAATTTGGACAGTACATGTACATACAAAAGAGTATGGCTTTGGATGCTCATTTGTGATTGTCATCTTAACCTTTTTAAATCCCCACTGCATATGCTGCTGAACAGAAAATAGGGAAACAAATATAAAATGCTTGAAGCTTGCATCTGCAAGTGCACTAGGAAAACAGCAGGTACTGGAGCATTCCTTTCAATGCATATTCCCCAGTGTAAGCTCACTTTCCTCTTCAACTTTTATCTTCTTCTTCAGTTCATATAAATACAAACATCCATTTCCTTCTTGCTAATCATTCCAGAGCTGGGGTTGCATTCTTAAGGGAAGTAGGGAAAAGGATATGCCCTTTTATCCAGTTTCTTCATGACTCAAATTCCAGAAATCTTCTCCGGTGTTTGGGCGCTCACAGCTGTTTGGGATCATATCTTTCTGATGCTTTAAAATACAGAAAAGCTGAAGCAAAATCATAAGCATAGTCACAGTCACAAGATTTTCACTTAGTGACCACTTTGCCCAATGACTAAATCACAGAAACCAATTGCATACAATGTGTTCTAAAATGACTGTAATGGCATGCAGGTGACTTGAGAGAGAGAGAGAGATGCTGGAAAGGTTGTAAACGCAGGCACAAAGTTACTTTTTCGTCTCTATCAGTCTCTGTTCAAAGCAGTCACTGAACATCGACAACCTATAGCAGTGATGGCGAACCTTTTAGAGACTGAGTGCCCAAACTGCAACCCAAAACCCACTTATGTATCGTCAGGTGCCGGGTGGGTGTGGCCCATTGAGTGGGTGTGACCCATTGAGTGGGTGTGACCCATTGAGTGGGTGTGGCCCATTGAGTGGGTGTGGCCCATTGGGTGGGCATGTCTGCAGTGGTAACAGCATACTGGGTGGGACTAAAAAGTTCAATCAATCAATTCCAACTTTGCAAGATCTTTTTTTTTCCTGCGAGAAGTTGAAATTGATTGATTGAACCTTTTTTTTTTTTTGCACACAGTGGCGGAGGCCTAAAGCGAAAAGGTTTTATAAAACCCAGATGAAGGCCTAGCACTGGGGCAACGGTGAGCGTGCCCACAGAGAGGGCTCTGCATGCCACCTGTGGCACGCGTGCCATAGGTTCGCCACCACGGACCTATAGGATAATTTGAGTCAGAGCATTTGTTCCTCTGAGAATAAAGTCCTCTTGAAAACTCTCTGATTTGTTCAATTATTCACTAATTTATTTGCATGGTTATACGTGGTATTCTTAAGATTCTTCTCCAATGCCAGTGTCCCAAAGTATCATACATTTTCTATCCTCCTTCAAGTCTATTTTCATTTCCACAGAGCATCACAGGGAATTCCATTGTATCTTTTCATAAGTTATGGATGCTCAACCATGATTTAGTTTGTAACATATTTCTTGATTGCTTGTTTATTTACTGATGATAGTTGAGCTTTAAAGGCAAAAGCTACCTACAATTTCATTATTAATTCTAAGGCTGGTTGTTGTTTCCGTTGTTTTGCAAGTAATTTTCTCTCAGTGGCTCATTCCTATTCAGCCTATAAGTTGCATAATTAATGAGAGAGCATACAGACCTGGCTCAGTTCTTTGCTAACTTGGAGCCAATCTGGTTCACCATGTTCTTTCCATACTGTGGCTTCATGACCTGTATATATGTTTGCATAGGGACAATGAGATGCTCTTGGATTTCCATTTTAACAATCACATTTTACAGCTTGACATGGTTGATGCAGTTGAAGGCCTTGCTATACAGTCATGGATATACTTATTTCATGCATGCTTAAGCTTTACTTGGTCTTGACAGGATTTAATGTATAATTGGCTTTGCCATACAAAATCCTTTACACCTTTTCAGCCATCTTTATTTGTGATATTAACATGTGGTGATCTGAATGACCTTGAATTCATCAAAGTTTCTATTATAATAGATTTTTGAATTTTATAAAATTCCATCTGGAATATATTACGCAAGAAGTAAATAAGGTTTCACCCTTTCATTCTCTGATTTTAAATATGTGGATGTGGGTGTGATTAATGTATTTAGTTATTTATTGAGTGTGTGTTTTCAAAATTGTTATGAGCAGTTATTTTAAAATGTTCTGGCAGATTTAAAAATAATAAAAATTATAAAAGTTGGAAGAGGAGTTCTTTCAGGTTTAGAGCTATGAGTCTGTGTTGTGAACAGTTTATTTACCTGTATATGGTTAAAATAGAATTTATTATGTTCTGTCTTTTGTTTATTGCAGGGCAGCACAATTATTTATGTGCAGGACGGAATGACTGTATAATTGATAAAATTCGAAGAAAAAACTGTCCTGCTTGCAGATTACAGAAGTGTCTTCAAGCTGGAATGAATTTGGGAGGTAAGTAAACTATGAGTACTAGTACTTTCTAGTAGTTTTCTTTTTATTTGGCAAATATATGTTATACCTGATTCTTTTTAAATCAGTATCAGATGGATGAACTTGGAAGCTCTGTCCTGGATTCCTCTAGCAAGAAAGAGACATTCTATAAAACCTCATAAAATCTTATTGTCATTCTCATTTTTAAAAAATAAATAATAGTTCAGAATAAGAACGATGGGAGTTAGATGATGACTAAAATTTTAGTGGAATATCAGGCAGCTAATTGGACTAAAGTATTGGGATTGGTCATGTTTGAAGGATTTTTTTCTTGTTTTATTGTGGTAATGATGTTAAAACAGTTCAATAAAATTATCAGATTTAACCAGAGGAAAAACTGTGTTATCTGCCAGATATCCTGGTATGTTCCAGCCTAGAAAAAAATAATTATAATAAAAATATGGAAAAAGTATAATTTAATTGCCTAACTATATTGATAACATTTTAATTATATTATTTCATATTTATCATGTTAAATAAGTAGCATAATTTTTGGTCACATATCTTTTTAAAGGTGAACTGGATAATTAAGGTTTTGCCCATTAAAAAAGGTATGAAATTGGAGATTTTCAAGTGCAGAGTGTCCTCCTTTCTGCATCTTTTCTGTATGAGCAATTTGTATAAGGCAGTGATGGCGAACCTTTTAGAGACTGAGTGCCCAAACTGCAACCCAAAACCCACTTATGTATCATTGGGTGCTGAGTGGGTGTGGCCCATTGAGTGGGTGTGGCCAATTGGGTGGGCATAGTGGCGGTGGTAACAGCAGACTGGGTGGGACTAAAAAGTTCAATCAATCAATTCCAACATTGAGAGATCTTTTTTTTCCTCGCAAGTTGAAATTGATTGATTGCTTGAACCTTTTTTTTTTTGCACACGGCAGTGGAGGCCTAAAGCGAAAAGATTTTATAAAACCCAGCTGAAGGCCTAGGACTGTGCACGTGCCCACAGAGAGGGCTCTGCATGCCACCTGTGGCATGCGTGCCATAGGTTCGCCACCACAGGTCTAAGGCATCCTTCAGAAGAGGGAAGAAAGGAAAAAATGTATGCTGTTGATTAAAATGAAAGCAGCAATTGAATCTGGAAGTTTCATCAGATTGATGAAAGTTACATTGTAGCATTGCAATGAAAGATTTGTCCCTACCATGTGTCCGTGAGTGTATTGTATACAAAAGGCACCTTAGCAGGCATCTTAGCAATTTAACTTTGACAGATGGATGATGTCCTGATACATCTTTCCTTAGCTGCTTCAGACAAATATCCATGAAGATTAAAGAGGATTCTTGCAACACCTTTCTAACACATTTTATTAAAAGGTCTAACATTTGATAAACTGTGGCTGAGTTTACTAACAGCTCATGAAAGCTTATATCTTTTAATAAAATTTGCTAGCCAGAAAAGATCCTATTTCACTTCTGACTTTTGGCACTGTAGTTTGACATGGTTCTCCTCCTACATTACCATGAAAAGCAGCTACCCAAATTTATGTAAATACAGACTATAACCGAATTATGTAAAATAACACATATTGATTTCATGCGTCTCTTCAAAAAGTTGTATTTTTCTATTCTTGTGCTCTGATATTTCAGTGTAGCACATCACAGAAACAGACAGGCATCTCTTCATTTCTTTGGCAATTTAGATATCTTTTTTTCTTTTCATTTTGCCCCATAGAGTAGCTGATTTCCTCCCAAAATTTATACTACTTTCTCCTTGGCTTGTAATTCTACTAATGAATTTTCTAGAGTGCTTTTTGAGTCTGGCACAAAAACTATGATGAATTGTGCTACCATATCTATCTGCAGAATTCCAGATGATCATAAGGCTACAGTTGACAATAATTACCATTTTTATATCTCCTTGTGCCAAGTAATTGTAATCTATATTTTTGCAGCACAGAAATGATAATTATAGTATAAGTAGTTACTTATTGTAAAAGTTTCTTTAAAGTCAAAAAATATTTTGTGTGCAGTTCCTACAAAGTATACTTTATTATATATCACTCAGACATGAGAAGCTTAAACTATAGCTGGCTTAAATGGATAGAAGAATTATTGTTATTGTAGAATAGAAAAATAAAAAATAAAAGTTACTCTCCAGTAACAGAGGTGGAATCAAGGAGTGGAGCAAGAGTATCTTGAGGTTAGAATGAAAAATAGGGATTGGTTTCTAGGACTTGTAAAGTTCAGCCAAAGGGAACAGTTGGGTGTGGAAGCAATAAGAGAGCAAGTTGAAAAGAGAATGGACCATTCTTGGCTCTGGTTGAGACAAAATTGTTCGAACAAAGTTAGCAGGAGAGTTGGCTGACAATGCATAAGCTAGCTAGAGAACAGTGCTGGAAAATGAAAATGGGGTGAAGATGAATAATAAAAGATCTGTTTGTTTTGCTGAACTTGGGGTATGATTTTAAAATTCAGAAAGCTTGCTTAAATAATTTAAAAGTGTATTTCTGGACATATTGACACAGTATGCTAATACATAAATATAGTTTACATTTAGCAATTATTTATACATTTCATATGAATATGAGTCTGGTTAATCAGCTGATTTCATCGTATAGATTAATTGAATTATATTATATTATTCCAGAGTGAATGGATAATGATGCATACAAAGATCTACATTTATATTTTTCATTAAATAAAAAGAGCTTATACAATGTGAAAAGTGGCTCGCATACTGTATAGTAAAAGTGCATATTAATTTTTCAGATAAACTTAAGTTATGTTAGTAAATAACTAATAATTATAAAAGATATCTTTAACAGCAGCATCTCCCTATCCCAGTCCTTGGAAAGGAATCTATAGGTGAATAAAAATGCCAGATCCGATCTAAACATCTGGCTGATTGTGCCCTGAATCATAATAATGAAAAAAATATATCTTGGAATCATAAAGTTAGAAGGGGCCATTTAGGCCACTCAGTCTACACTGTGTGCATAATTCTTAGGCAAGTGAGTATTTTGACCATATCAACATTTTCACGCATATTGTCCACCTCCAAGCTGTATAAACTTGAATGTTTAGTGCAGTGGTTCTCAACCTATGGGTCGGGACCCCATTTGGGGCCGAACGACCATTTCACGGGGGTCGCCAAACAACGTAGTCCGCCATTTTTCCCCCTTTTCCTTAGATGTGCTACTCCCTTTTATTCTATTGGCTTTTGAAAGCCAATAGAAAAGACTCTCTTGAATAGAGTCTAATTCTATTGGCTTTCAAAAGCCAATAGGAATTGTCCAGGCTGTCTCTGCCCTGCTGAGCCCACCAAAAGTCCCATTCTGCAAACGGTGCTGCACCAGTTGAGTAGTCCTCGACTTACGACTGGTTGAGTAGTCCTCGACTTACGACCGGTTGGGGGTCGCGGCATTAAAAAGGTTGAGAATCACTGGTTTAGTGGATATAAGCATATCAGGTGATATGTATTTGTGTAATAAGGGAGGGTATGGCCTAAGGAGATCAATATCAATATGCAATAGGTGTGCATAATTATTAGGCAGCTTCTTTTCCTCAGGCAAAATGGGCCAAAAAAGAGATTTAACTGACTCTGAAAAGTCAAAAATTATAAAAAATCTTTCAGAAGGATGCAACACTCTTGAAGTACAAGGTGTTCAGTTCTCAGAGACATGGCCAAGGTAAGAAAGGCTGGCAGTAGGTTTGGGAGTTGATTTTGATTCATCTTCAACCCAAAAAGGTCCAACTAGTTCAACTTTAATAATAATAGCCCATATCAGTACCCCACCTCCTTGATGGTGTCGAAGTGGAGCTCTGTGCCTGTTACTGATCCAGCCACAGTTCCATCCATCTGGTCTGTCAAGAGTCACTTTCATCACATCCATAAAACCTTTGAAAAATCTATCTTTAGATATTTCTTGGCCCAGTCTTGCCATTTCAACTTATGTGTCTTGTTCAGTTGTGTCGGGTTTCAGCCTTTCTTACCTTGGCCATGTTTCTGAGCACTTTACACCTTGTACTTCTGGACACTCCAGGTAGGTTGCAGTTCTGGAATATGACAGCACTGGAGGATAATGGATTCCTGGTAGCTTCACATTTGATTTTTCTCAGATCTTTGACAGTTAATGTGCATCTTTTTTTTTCTCAACACATTTCTTGCAACCCTGTTGACTATTTGCAACAAACCTTTGATGGTTCTGTGATCACTCCCCAATATCTTAGCAATTACTCACTTGCCTAATAATTGTGCACACAGTGTACTTCACTGCTAAGTGCAGACATCCAAATTAAAGCTTCTACTTGAACACATCCACTGAAGGAGAGTCCATCACCTCCCTGGGTAATTGCTTACACTGTTGAACAGTTCTTACCATTAGGAACTTTCTTCTAACATTCAACAAGAAGTTCTTTTCCAAGAACTTAAATCCATTTTTCAGTGCTCTCTATTCTGGAACAAGATAAAACAGGCCTTGATCTTCTTTTATGTGACTCCCTTTCATGTATTTGAACAGTGCTATTATATCTACTCTCACTTATCTTTTCCTGAGGGAAAATACTCAGTCTCTTCGGTTCCTCTTCCTAGATCAGTTGTTGTTCCCTTATCATCTGATTGCTCTGTCCAATTTCTCTGAATCTTTCATAGAACATGGTGCTTGTTACCACTCATTGTGCCAATAAACTTTGATAAGGGGAAAATAAATTATTTCTCAAGATTTTGATATTATACAATTGCAGCCATGTTACATCAGTGGCTTAATTTGTGCCAAACCGTTATCGTAACAAACTATTGTGTAGCCATTTTGTTTAAAAATATTTTTTAAAGTATCATTACCATATGATATTTCCTATCCTGTAACTCTGTATTTGATATTTATTTCTTCAGTGAGGAATGTTGAACTTGTCATTCTTACATTTAGTCCATTTATTGAACCTATCAATTTTATTTCTTACTTCTTTGTTTCATTCAGTATTTGAAAATTTGAAAAGCATCCTTTTCACTTTTTCATCCAAGCCATTAATTAAATCATCCAGTATTGACCTTTAGGCCACTCTATTTGATACTTTTTTTTTTAATTTGATGAGAATCCATGGAGAAGGGCTTTTGAGCAAAATATGTATCCACTTAATTGTCATATTATATTCACAGTTAAGTAGCTTGTTAATCAATTTGTGATGGGGTACTTGATCAAATGTTTTATATATACTGTGTCTAAATAAATCCTATACTATATTATGAAATTTATCTGATTAACAGGCACCTCTTTTGTTCTACCAACTTGTATTCTTCCTTTCTGATTTGGTCTCCTTTCATTTCCTCTCTTTATCTTATTTCTGTGTAGCCACTTTGAATTCTTTTTTGTTCCTCCATTTGTTTTTTCCATTGATATTGTATGGAATTGTGGTTTTATTATTAGTTCTTTCTTGAGGAATACAACTGATCCTGAATTCTTTTCCTCATTAATTTTTTCTGCTGTGAGATCCTATTTAGCATGGCTCCAAATGTACTAAAAATTGCTTTTCTAAGTTCTAAGGGTTTGATTATGTCTTAGTTTCTCTTTGAATCGAAATCTTTAACATTGCATAGTCCAGTGATGGCGAACCTTTTAGAGACCGAGTGCCCAAACTGCAACCCAAAACCCACTTATGTATCGCCAGGTGCCGGGTGGGTGTGGCCCACTCGGCGGGTGCAGCTACAGTGGGCGTGGCAGATTGGGTGGGCGTGGCCACTGGATGGGTGTGGCTGCAGTAGTCATGGCAGACTGGAAGGGCATGGCCACCTCGATGTTGCTTATGGGGAGGGACACCTGTGGGAGCCGGGCAGGGCAGAGTTGGGGGAGATCCAGGGGATCTCTGGCAGGTGGGATGGTGGGCTCCCCAATGGCAGCTCCAGGCTGGCTGGCCTTAGGCCAGTGATGGCGAACTTTTAGAGACCATGTGTGCTGGGGTGATGGCGCGTGCCCACAGAGAGGGCTCCGCGTGCCGCCTCTGGCACGTGTGCCATAGGTTCGCCACCGCTGGTATAGTCCTATTACTTCCATTTCTTCTACTAAATCTTCTTTATGGTTTGTATCAAGTCCAGATAGCTGATCTTCTTGTGTCTTCCTCTACTGGACTGGAGAACTTGCTGGAAGGAGCATTCTTGATGAAGTTTTTCCTCTAGGAAATTTTGAGTTATTCAGTGTTTCTCATCACTAATAATGCCTTTTTAAAGATCTGTAGTTTCCTTTTGGAAAGCATTATTGGTATCATCTCCTTGGGCAGAAAATGAGAATAGACATGAACAACAATGTGGCTTTTATTTTGTTCCACTTATTTTAATCCGACATTGTCAAATCCATTTTTCAGGTTTTCTAAATATATTTTTAATATACAGTAGAAATCCTTTTCTCTTTCTATAATATTGCTTCGGGTTTTTTCGAACAAATAGTATGTTTCTATTGCTGTACTGCAGTCATCAAAAATTATTCTTAGATTCTATTATATCTATTAAATCATATTTGTAATTTTGCACAAAGAGTTCATGTTGTTTATTTTTTATTTACTACATTACTTATATACTGACACAGTTTATCCTCTAGTCATCATCAGGAAACTCAGCCATGATCCCAGAAAACAAATCTCTGCTCAGTACCATTTGCAATGCTTGTCATTTTCAGTATTTTTTTCTTTCACTTTCCTGTATTCTTCCATATATCTTTTTAAGTTTTTTCAAAGATTAGAGTGATATACTTTTAGCTGGTTTTTTTCTTCCTATATGTATTAATGGGAAAAGATAACTGTCAGTAGGCTTGATAAGTTTTGGAAATTGTCCTGTCACATCCTTATTCTTCACTCCTAGTTGTCAATGTACTTCATGAACTAATAAATATGATTTGAATACATTTGATCAATTTCCTCATAGAAATAAGTCATCAGTTACCGTGACTATTCTCTTTGTTTTTTATTAGGGTATACTCTCTTGTTCCTATTCTGGAAGTCTATTTTTATTTCCTTAAATACTTAGAACCTGCTTCTTATGCAAAAGTCAATAAACTGTTTCTGAGTTCCATTACTACCAAATATTATTCTGATCCACTAAATGTACTCTTGTGTTTCTCTTCCTTATAGAACAAGTTAACAATTTTTTATTGGGAAAGTTTCCTTTGGACTAATTAATCTTTATTCCTTTTCAGTAATGTGTGATTTCATTATTTACTTCAACTCTGATAACTGGTTTTGATGGCAATGTCTTTTGCATGATGTATTTAGTTGCATGCCTTTATATATCCATATCTATATCCATATCTATCTATATCATGTGTGTACATACACCCACATGATATAGATAGAAATGGATATGGATATAGATATATATTCACATATATATCTAGTATTCAGATATAATATGTATGTATGTATGTATGTATGTATGTATGTATGTTTAAAGAATTGAATGGAAATGGGCTGGTCACATAGCAAGAAGAATTGATGGCAGGTGGACCAAAGTAGTCATAGAATGGATCCCACTTGATAAAAAGCATCTATGGAAGAGACCTAAAACAAGATGGATTGATAACATCATCAAGTATTGCAGGCCCAATTGGCAAAAGAAAGCTCAGGACCATATAGCTTGAAAAGAAGCGGAAGACAGTTGTATATTCTATATTTATTCTATGAATATTATTGTAGGTTTCATGTTGGAATCTATAAAATAAGCAATGCAATAATAAGCACATAGCTCCATGATTTATCTATATTAAATCTAATTTCCTTGTTAATTCACCATTAAAGATTACAGCTAGCATGCGGTGCATAATCTCTGCTTAGATGTTGCTTGATTTAGAAATATTGACATGACATACTTATAGCAGCAATCCCCAACCTTTCAGGTACTGGTTTTGTGGACTCAGAGCAGGGGAGGATGGTTTCACGCACAAGCTAGATCCTGGGCATGTGAAGATGAAACTTTGCTTGTTTGCCTGCCACTTGTGTAGCTTGGTTCTTGACAAGTCACAGACTGATATGGGTCTGCGGCCTAGGGGTTCGGGACTCCTGATGTGTAGGCCAAGGTATATTACAGCTGGACAGAACCCATTTTAAATGACAACTCTGAAGATAATAAATATATAAATACATCAGTTGCCACTGTTTCTTTAAAAAAATATTTTATATGGCATCTGATGTATTTAAATAAAATTAATATAAACTCATGTTTATGGAGTTTATACCATAAAAATGGAATGTAGATAAGGAATTATAAAAATACTTACAATTTTTTATTTAAAAAATAATTTATAATATAATACCAAAAAGCATATTTATATCTGTGTTTCTAGATTTTTGTAATTGACTTTAGATAAAATAATCTATAATGCAGACTTGTTTGCCATTCAGGAAAAAAAAAGTTATGCAGTTGGTTTGGTCCACAGTAATATTTGCAGAATACATGCAATTTTGTTTAAAGGAAAAAAAATATTGGAAGTTCTTAGTTTGTGACCTAGGTAACTAATGATATTAGAAGATAATAAAGATTACTTATTTAAAGTATAATTTTGATAGCTGTTATTTGAGTTGCTGCACTTAACAATATTTCTGTTAATGATTTTAAAGGAATCATAAAGTGCAATTTCAAAACCAGTTGAGAAAAAACCTAGCTGAGAATACTGCAAAACAAAAGAGTGAGAAAATAAGTGATTCAGTTAATAAAGGGAAACTTAAATGGCTTATGATGTGGTGTGCATTTAAGAGAATAATCATGCTTTGCTGAATCCATATGAAATACATAATAAGATGTATTTGGGAAATAACATTATAACTTGCTTTCATCTCTATGCAATTTCCTGTTTCAGAATATATTTCTAAATACTCATCTTGCTATTTTCTGTTATTTCAATTATTGACCTGGTTTTTTCCCCAGGTACATTTGTGTGTTTTACATAGTAAAAACAAAAGATGGATAGTTTCTGGTGTTGTGTGATACAATTACATTCTTATCCCATTTTATGACTCATCTTTGCTACAGCCCGGAAGTCGAAAAAGTTGGGCAAGTTAAAAGGAATCCATGAAGAGCCACCACAGCAGCAGCAACAGCCACCACAAAGTCCAGAAGAAGGGATTACGTATATTGCTCCAGCAAAAGAACCTTCTGTGAACACAGCACTTGTTCCCCACTTATCTGCAGTTTCACCAGCACTTACTCCCTCACCTGCTATGGTTCTAGAAAATATTGAACCTGAAATTGTATATGCAGGATATGATAGCTCAAAACCAGACACAGCTGAACACCTGCTCTCCACTTTAAATCGTCTCGCTGGCAAGCAGATGATTCAGGTGGTGAAATGGGCAAAGATCCTCCCAGGTAATGAAATTTTTATTTTCAGTGTAGATATTCTGAGTTTAAGGTATGCTTTGCTCAAAAGATTGTGTTAGAACTCCTTTTGTATTAAGAAAATTCATCACTTGTCATTAGAAAACATTTGTACCGTTTTCTTTCATGTGGGTTGGGGCTTCAAATTCTCAGAATAGGCAATAAAAATATCTGGATAAAATAAAATAAAAATATTTATAAAGGATACATTAGTTTATGCTGCATAATATAGATGTATTTGTTGTTGTTGTTATTGTTAAAGTTAGACATATTTGCTTAGAACACATGAAAATATAGCAGTGTGAACATAACTTTCTGGGCCCTTCTTAGAATAAATCTTAAATAATAGTAATAATAATGATGATGATGATGATGATGATGTTGAAAGGGACCTTGAAGGTCATCTAGTCCAACCCCCCTGCTCAGGCAGGAAATACTATACCATTTCAGACAAATAATTGTCCAGTCTCTTCTTAAAAACTTCCAGTGTGGGAGCATTCACCAGTTCTGGAGGCAGGTTGTTCCACTGGTTAATTGTTCTAACTGTCAGGAAGTTTCTCCTTAGTTCTAGGTTGCTTCTCTCACCACCAGTTTTTAGACCGTCTCCTGAAATATAGCTCATAATATTACTAACCAGGGATCTGTTTTAGAGGCCAGAGTTTGCCAGGAAATCTGTGAAATTAGTGTACTAATCTGGTATAGTGACCTTGACACTAAGAAACTATGAGGTACCTTCTACATCTAGTTTTAGAATGTGAAGTAGCAGTGTGTATGAAATAAAAAATATGGTAGGGTTTTGTTTTTTCAAAAAAAAATATTGAATTCCTTACATTTTCTAAATTCTGCAAAATCCTTATGAGCCAGCTGAAGTGAGCAGAACTAAAACTCAGAATATTTTGCTTGTTACAGATTTTAGCTGGAACAAATTCAGAGAGGTCTTACACGGCAGAGTAGAGCAAGGCTACTACACCTTTCCACTTTCTTCCCTCCACATGGCCAATCCACCAGCCAGCCAGGTGATGTTCCCCAGCACCTTCCTTTCCCTCCCTCCCCTTATCCTCCACATGTTGCCAAGAATATTTTTGGCTTCAGTTATGGAATTTCCAGTCAGATGCAGACCATCTATCTTTCTCGCATTTTCTTTTTCTTATTCCAAGAACACTGCTGATAGCTTAGGGGAGTATGGAAAGGAAGACACTGAGAAGATCAAAAGAGGATGGATTTTAAATGTTGCAGATAAAGCCAAGGGCATCAACAATGGTTATGACTGGGTTCCAGCACCATATATCCAGCTGAGCAGCCTGTTCTCCCCATATCTTTTCAGCGCTTTCCTTTTTAACCTCTCCTTAGTTGTGCTCTATCACCAATCTGGCTGGCTTATTTCTGATCCTTCCCCAAATTGGTTGGCCTGAAACACAGGTTTTCAGTCCAGACACAGATCACTGCAAAATAATTGTTCCATGCATAGGAGGCTTCATGCAGGAAATGTTTTTCACATCAGTAAGGTAAAGTTTTAAAATTAGAGTTCATGGTTCCTAAGTGTACAAGTGTTTGTATATCTGGATGTTAAGGATAAGAAGTTCTTTTGCTACTAAAGATTTACTAATCCTTATTTTCTTTCTGTCTTCAGGATTTAGAAACTTGCCTCTTGAGGACCAAATTACTTTAATACAGTATTCTTGGATGTGTTTATCGTCATTTGCCTTGAGCTGGAGATCATACAGACATACAAACAGCCAATTTCTTTATTTTGCTCCTGACTTGGTCTTTAATGAGTAAGTTTTCCAATAAATACTTGTTTTTTTAAGGAAGTTTATAAAATAAAGCTCTGTTAAAATGTGATACATATAGAAATCCAAACCTTGAAGGAATACAAATACTGGGAAATGAGCATATGGAAACATCTTTCTCACATTTATTTATTTATTTATGAGACTTATATACCGCTTTAAGTGCAAGCACTCTCTAAGCGGTGTACACCAGTAAGCAATGTATATATATATATTTACATTGCCCCCAACAATCTGGGTCCTCATGTGTTTTTCTTGTCCTTATCTTTAATTTGCATCTGTCATTGTATGTGTTTCCAAAGCTTCAACATTTAATTGGCTTTGACAGATCACTAATACATAACTTAAAGAAAAAGTAGAATCCTTCTACCTATCTACTATTACATAATTTGAGATTTGCATTTTTTAAAAAGTCCATTAAGAGGAATTGCTCTTCTTAAGAATATACAGCAACTCAGTGTATATTCATTACAATTATAATTACTAATTTTGGAAGAAGCCTTTTTTTATACCTCACAGCAGTAATTGTAAGTGCCATTTATTTCATTGCTGTGGGCTCATTCCTTTTCGTAATAGAAACATAACTTGTACCACAAAAGCAAGGATTCAAGTTCAAAAACATTGCTGAAGCTCATGTAAAGGATGTGAGCTACCTTGATGAAATTGTTTATTCTGTTTTTTAATGGAAGAGCAGCAACAGGTGTCATATTTCAAATTACACTTGAAATTGTTTTTAGGCAGAAAACTACTTTTTCTGCCCCAAGAATGGAGAAAAAAGCAAACAAACTAAATTACTTGCAGAATATATTTAATAGTTCCTTAGATTCTGTCTATGAAAATTAAAGATCCCTAAATCTTACTTTAAGAGTTTCTGGTGCAGTCAAATCAATGTGACACTGGAAATCTGTTATATATTAATTGCACTGGATTGAGATGAATTTTGTTTTAATCAAATTTTACATTATGTTAAAATACATAGGTAATTTTTTCTTTCTACTTACTTAAAGCCTAATATAGCTGAACCTCCAAAGGCTGTGCCCTCTTAGTTGTTAATAAAGTATTTAAATAATTAGAAGATTATTGGAGCTAGGAATGATGTCTCAGTACCAGAAGTCCAGTTTGTTACTTTGTTTCACTATTTTATAAAATATATATTATCTAGATCAGCCTTTCTCAACTGAATTTCTGTGGAAATCTACAGTTCCCTGAGACATTACTAGATGTTCTGCAAACTATCACGATTGCAAAAAAAAGCATCATTTTTGAACTTTGCGTGCTTCATATTGCTAGCACTTGGATGGTGGGAATTTTAACATACTGTTGCTTACCTGTCAGACTATTGCTTTGCTGTTGTAAACATTGTAGGTTGGGACTAAACTATTGTAAAGTTTTCATATTTTCATATTTTATGCAAATATTTTATTTTTATGAGACTTGATTCCAAGAGTTCCTCTCGGGTAGTGGTTCCCAAACTCTTCACCTCATTGACCCCTTCATGAATTTTCAGATTGTCATTTATCCTAAAACAGTTATTATATGAAATTAATTTGATAAATACTACTTTAACAAATATCACTACAAACAACAACATTGATCCTTGGGGGGAGTTGATACTGACCACTTTGGGGAATTACGTTTGAAAAGTTAAGAATTGGAAAAAGGCTAATTTAAATAGTTGAATGTAGTCAATTGTCTCAAAGGTGCTTTTTCAAAAGGCAACTGTACTATTTTTTTATTTAAGGAAAAAGAAGATGTTTACAACAGATGATGGTTCTTGGATAAGAAGTGAAATGTATTTTTCTTCCTCAAATAAAAAACAGTCCAGTTGCCTTTGGGGAAAAAAATAATCTTTGAGACAACTATGATCTGGATGACTGAGAATCTCCATAAATCTAGTCAATTATTTTGAATAGCTATATGTAGTCTAACAAAATTTAAAAAAAATTTCAATTGTGTCAGGATAGAGGACATAGAAAAATGGATTTAAATTCCAGGAAAGTAAATACCAACCAAATGTTAGGAAAACCAGGGCTCATTTTCTATATCTGACATAACATGATCTCTAGAAGTACAAAAGAGCTTGATATTTAATTTCCTTTTTCAGTTAAATACTGAAATAGTCATAATAAATCTTGGAAATTACTTCTTTGATTAAAGTTGTTTGAATTTATACTGAAAAATATTTTAAAAAGGCTAAAGACTATCTAGAGGGCTAACATTTTGCAGTACTTACATGTTCAAAACTTGCTAGCTGCTATCCAAAGTTGATCTCTGATTACGTACTCTTTTTAGGATATTAAAAAAAGGGTGAGGTCTAACCCAAGAGAGCTAAGGGATCATTTTGGACTGGCCAGTGATGTGTCTGTGTTGAAGTGAGAACTAATTTTTAAGTGATTAAGATATTGGATTAAGACTGAAAAAACAAATTCAAATTCACAGTTTATATAAATATATAAATAATACATTTTAATGTGTAGCTGAACCTATGTTTAAAGAGAGATGTTGAAAAATTTAACTTCCTAGATGTTGTGGAAGTTTAACTTTCTAGATGTAGTGGGAATATTTATAACAATTTTCCATGTTGTCTGGGTCTATTGGATTTGTATTCAATATATGGAGTAGGCCTTTTTTTAGAGATTAGGCATAGATTGTTTTGAATTATGTAATTTGGAATATAAGAGCTGTTGGAATTATCTAATCCAACAGCCTTCCCAAAAAAGAAAAGTTCACCATTCCCCAAGGCAGACTATTCCGTTCTAAAACAACTTGTACCTTTTTTTTCCTTGGTATTCAGCTGAAATACATTGTGCTGTAATTTAAGATCAGTCTTTTTTTCCTGCGTTGTAGTATAACATTCTTTTGAAATACTTCAGTTATAGCCCTTTAAATATCGCATCTTCTCCAGACTAAAAATGCCCAACACTTACAAATGTTCCTCATATGATAATCCTTTGAGGTCCTTTATCAACTTTCTTGTTCCTCTGAATATATTCCATCTCATCAATGTTTTTTCTAAAATGAAATGCCCAGAACTCAGTGTAATATAGATGGGATTTGACCAATGGACATATCTTGATTTTTACATCTTATTTCTGTGGATTCAACCTAGAATTACAGTTGCTTTTTACCATTTACTTTACACTGTTGTCTGTTATTGACAAAAAGCCACTTGGGTCCTTTTTTTGTACGTATGGTCCCTGTTCTACATTCATGCTTTTGTTTTTTCATATCCAAATGTTAGACATCACATTTGTCCTTACCAAATTTAATAGTGACTGATTACTGCCTGTTGTTCCCACCCTTCAAAGTTTTTTCTGCCACATGATACTGCCTTCTACGATATTTTCCATTCCCCCCTCTCTTTGTGTCATCTGTAAATATGGTAATAATGTTTCCAATCCCTTATTCAGGTCATTGATAAATATGTTGAATAATATAAGACCTAGAACAGAACCTAGCAGCTCACCATTTGACACTTCCCTCCAACTTAACCTATAATTTGATCTATACTTTATATGCTTATTCAAACAATTTTGAATCAATTTAAAGTAGCTAAAACAGAGCCCTCTTCTCTAGTACAAGTGGTATTTCATTCATTCATTCATTCATTTCATTCATTCATTCATTCATCATTCATTCATTCATCAAATTTATATGACTGCCCATCTCATGAAAAAGTGATTCTGGGTAGTGTTACAATAAAATCATAAAAGGTTTAACAATTAAAAATACATAATTCAGGAAAAAAATAAAATGCTACATCCACTCCATTTCCCAGGCAATTAAACTGCTTATGAAGAAAGATCAAGGGGAGGGAGGGAGGGAGGGGGAGGGAGGGAGGGAGGGAGGGGGAGAGAGAGAGAGAGAGAGAGATCAGGTTGGTTTGGCATGATTTTTTTCCTGGTTCCTGCCAAGAAATGCATTCTTTTCTAAATGCTTGTCAACCAATTGTTTAATGATTTGTTTCTGAATTTTTCCCAGTGTCACTGTCAAGCTGACCTGGTTTATAATGTCTTCTTCTTTTTCTCTGAAGAGTAAAACAACAGTTACCTATCTCCAGTCATCTGGCCTGATTTGTTAAAGTTCATAGGAAGGGATTCTAATGACATCTGCAAATTCCTTTACAACTTTTGGATGTAATTGCTCTTGTTATGGAGATTTGAATTCACCCATAACAATTAGTGTTTACTAACCCTAATTTTATTTACTCTTCATTTTTCACTGCCTCTGTTTGTCAGTTGTTCTGATCAGTTACATTTGAATACATTTTGGGTGGTGGTGGGGGGGGGATGGAGAGGGACTAAAGCAAATTAAGTCTTGAAGACCTCTGCCTGCTCCCTCTCTATCTATTTACTATCCCACCATAGAGGAAGTGGGCCTCTTCCTTCCTTCACTTTTCTTTCTTTTACTATTGTCATAGCTGAAAAAGGGACATTTCTTGCTTGTAAGCCTATGCTGTCATTTCTTTTTTGAGACTATGGCAAATCTCAAGATAATGTGGTCAATTCTTCTTAAGCTTGCACTGCTTTCATTCTTTAATCACTCGTCCCCTATTAGTTATATCTAGTTCACCAGATCTCTCTTGTTCCGTTTTCTATGAAAAATAAAACAATCAGATTGCTAACAAATTTTTGAAGTTTGACTGCATTGATTTTTTGCCCTATAGCCATAGGTTTGTTATTTCTCCTTCTTTGTATTTTTATCAAATGCTTTCAACTGAATTTTCATTTTCCTTTGTTCCCCTTCCTTTTCTTTATTGGTTTACGTATTATTCTAGCCATGACGAAGGACTACGTTCCAAAGTAGAATTAAACATAGTAGGAAAATGGGCATTTCCCCAATTATTAAGTATCTAGCTGTAGATGTTACTAAAGAGCTGATCTCCATGAATACAAGATAGTTATCTGCAGTAGGGTGCAATTGTGTATGTGAAATTGGATAATGCAGATTTCTAGCTTATGTGGAAGTGTTCACTTACAGAGAAG